TGAATAATTATGATATATCCTGCTTTGCTTCCCATCTTGTTCTTGGAAGTTTAAAATGCATTTCATTACTGAGCTGTAGAACAAGTGGAAAGTAGCACTTGAAATGTTATCTTAAAAAACACAATTTGTTTGGCTTCTAGTGCATCACACCACAACGGTATGCGGTTACTTTTCCCCTTTATTTAGGTATTATTGGAAAAGATATGCATGTCAGGTTACTGAAGTAGATACAGCAGAATGGGAATTCATAAGGCTGAGCTTGCACCCTGAAAGAAATTCCCCAGAACAGTGCCTGGGTGTATTGTCACTTCAGTAGGCCTGTCTGTAATTTAAGGCATTTGAGTGAAGCTTGGCAGGAGAATCCAGGGAAGAAACCTCCTTTGTTTGCTCTTTGAGTTAGCTAGGGCTTCAGCAGTTTGTAAAAAAAACTTGTTTAACTGTTGTGGAGCAACCATTTTTGGGTTGGGAGGTCTTGTCTGCTTTGGAGGGGTTTTGGCACGCTGGAGGAAACTTCTTGTCAGCTTCCAGAGCCTGTACTATTGTGATACAGGTATTGGTAGATTACAGGGACTAACTGCTGTATCTTTGGCTACCACCTGCTCATTTGAAAAGTAGCTAAAACCATGTAGTTGGCTTTCTGAAGCTTATCTTTTGTTAAAATTACGACAATGCCTGTTCTGCCTCAAGACCTATCTGTATTTAGGAACAAGAACAAATCAAATGATAGTCTTAAGATAACACCCAAGGATATCAGTCACTGTCTTTTTTTTTTTTTTGTATGTTTATGAGCTCTGTAGCAATAAGGCCAAACTACTTAAAAGAATAAAAGTAATAATTATTTCATTCTGATATTGTTTTTACCATTCTATTAGGTACTGTCTCAACATTTGCACCTCTAATTTTAATAGTACTCCAAATCTGAAATCCAGCAGCTAGCTTGGTTTACTGTAAGCAGTGCCTTTTATAAACAGTGTGTGTCTTGAATTGAGGAAAAAATGAGACTAAATGGGGAAACTTCCATCTTGCCTATTTTGCTGTTTTCTCTTTGGCAAATCCTCTCGTGCCTGTATCCCTAAGCTGTTTTTCCTTTATTCCTAGATTCTTGCAACTTCCTGAAGTTGCCATCAGAGCGAAGTGTAGGATGGTATTCGGGGTTACATCTCTTCAACACTGGTAGTTACCGAATAACCATCGTGAAAAAGCAGATAAAAGGAGTCAGTTACATTCATTTGAAAATGAGTGAATTGGTGAATTCCATAGCCAGGCAGTTACAGAAAGAGAGATTAGTGGCTTGGAGTTGGAAACTGTGTATCAGTAAATCTTAGTAAAGTCATTCTGTGTTTACTGATCAACTCTATAGTGATATGACTGAATGGCACATTTGCCCAAACCGGTTTTACCTTAAGGTTTGGGTTGGTTGTTGTTTTGTTTTTGTGTTGCAGCCCTCTGTGAAGTTGCTGATATTTGAAAGCCAAAGCTCGGTCTTTTATGCATTAGATCAGAGAGAGACACAGACTTTGCTTTCGACTTTTTAAGAGCTTAAAATTTTACTTCTGGATTGCTTTCTTTATGCCCTCTGAAAAAGCTTCAGGTATTGTAATTATTGGAGTAGGAACTGGAAAATACCTGGCTACTTTGAAATAATGATTTTAATCCACTTAAGTCAATTGTTCTTGCAGTGGACCTGACCAGTAGATAGATGTTAGTTGCCTTATTTATGGAGGGTAGAGAGTGCATGAGGATATTTCAAATGTAAAACTTTGTGCTGTATAAGAGGTCTGGTAATGCCACAAATGAGGTGTATGTTGAGAAATGCGCGATACCTGCTTGTGGTGAATAAGTTGGCAATGTGTAATTTATAGGTATGTGATGTTTTCAATTTGATTTTTAAATGGTGGAGATAAGTAAATTGCTTTTTAATGTGTAATAGGCTACTGAAAACTTTCTTTCCTTAACCAAGTGCTCAGGTCTTGATTTAAATTCCAGTGGACTTTGATTTTAAATTGGAAAGACCTGAGTGCTGTTTTCTTGGCACAGTTGTTAGGGTGTAGGGCACAATGCAAACAACAAGTTAATAGCTAAAGGTACCCCTGTGTGCAAAGGGAGAAGCAGAGGAGGAACAGCCCTAAATTAGGTGGTGTTGACGAGGAGCTAATTATTTTCTGGTCTGTCTGTGGAGTATGGCAGAAGAAATTTGGTTCCATCTGCTTTTGTGAGTGACCTGGTCATGCATCTTGTGACTTGATGAAAAGTAACGAAGACTGGTTTCACAGCACACACATGGATCTGCTTTCCTGCTCCTATGGATTTTTTCTGGGGAATGTAAGAATGGTAGTTGTACCATGACTCCTGTAGAAATACAAATCAGCCACACTTCTAAAGGCTTCATTAGAAGCCTACATTGAATTAAAGTACCTCCTTAAGCTTCAGCTCTTCAGGGTGCAAAAAGTTTTTTGAACCTTTTGATAAAGGTGACCTAAGTGTGATGTATTTTACTCTTCTATATCTTACCAAAAGAGAAAGTGTAAGGGCAAGTATTTTAAGACTGAAAGGGAGACACAATAAAGCTCTGGCAATAGAATGTTTTTGTTATTTCCAGGAGGCACTCCTGAATTCCTTAGTGCTTCAAATGCTGCATAACAAATGCAGACATTAAAGCTTCAGAAAAATGAGGATGTTGAAGTAAACACCAATGACAACTCTTGCAAAAATCTGGTTTCTATTGCAAGTTCTCTCTTGTATATGTGGGGACAGGGTGTTTCCTGCCTGGCAAAAATTGGACGTGTAATTTCAGGAATGTAAAGCAAATATTTTAGCTCTGATTGTGTTAACGTTCAGCTTGAGTGGCTGGGTCTTGTTGCATCATATGTGACTGCTGCCATCCCACATCTAATATTGGTAATAAAAATTAGGAAGCCAACAACTAAGGCTTTTTGTGAAGTTCATTGTTATGTTCTGTCACTACCAAACTGTGATATGGGTGGATTTTAATGCTGCTTTGAGCTAAAGAAAATACTTATATGAATATTAGCCATGTGTATTGAATATTCCACTTAATTTCATTAAGAAATGCTCATGAATGTCAAATGTAAACATAAATGTTGATAGGACCCAAATTTCTATTTCAAGATCAGATACTACCTTAAACAGCCTAAAGGGTGTATTAATCTTGAAAATCTCATGGTGTGAATTTGACACATGTACAGAAGCTGGATTTAGAAAACATTCCAACTTCTGTCTTTAATTTTAGAGCAACATCAGCAGCATTATCTGATGGATGTATGCGGTTTCTTACTTATCAGCCAAGCTACTGTAATAAAATAATACTGTTGGTAAAGTACAGTATCTGTCAAACTATTATTAAAAGCCCTTTATAGGCCAGCAGCACAATGGAAAACAGCACTGCATGTGAGACTTGTTTCCAGCATCTTTTTAAAAGATACTGAGGGGCTGTTTCTTGGCAGGATAAGATTTATGTACTTTTTTCAGATGCTCTTGTGCAGAGTGATGTTGATTCAAAAAAAAACCAAGGTATTGGCTTTCGTACTTAGAATCATAAATTTCTAGTACAGTTAAATACGGCGTGTATTTTTAAATTGTATGCTTTTAGCTTCCAAATGACAAGATTTCCTTTTTTAAATACTTAGGTTTCAAAACTACCATGAAGTGCTCAAAGTAAATTTGATTCTGCCTCTTCTGTGAGAAATTACCTGATTTAGGTTCAGTCTTATTTACATGAAACATCTGTGGGTGGCTGGGGAGATCTCTGTCCGCAGCCACTAAGAAAGCAAGCATTGCTGATCAGAATACAGCCAGGGAATAAGGAGTGCCACTCTTTAGGTCAGACTGTAGTACTGGCAGACAAACTGAAGGAGTAAGGGTGTTCCTTGTAGAGGTTCCCAGTTAGAGTGTAGTGGTTATGTGGGCTGTTAAGGACATCGGACTCTGCCCAGGAAGAAATTTGGTTCTGTTATTAATGATGAATGAGGAGCGTGGTAGCATATATGGAATACTGTGCGAAGTAGTGTGTCTCTAGACCCATTACTTTGCTATCAGAAACCTGCATATATACATTTCCACCTCCACCCCCCCAATAAATAAGGTTAAACCACGTAAAGGTCTCTTTTCATTTGTAAAAGGATAAGTCTGTGTATGGGCAATTGCCGTGGCTCAGTTACGTGCTGTACCTAGCTGTTCTGTGTTACCTTAATTGCGTATATGACAGACCATTGCAAGCTGCACAAGTTTGACGCAGGCTTTGTCAACCAAGTTAGGGTAGAATACATACAAGTGGCAAATGGGGTTTTATCAGTATTTAAGCATTATCTGATATTATCCTTTCATATTAGCTGTTCTGTCTCTGTGGTGATATTATCAATAACAACTGCAAACTTGGTTTGATTATTGCAGTTGGTAGTATAGAAAACCCAGCTCTTGAAACATGCTTTCTTATTTTGCTGAAATTAATCCTGGGGAAAAAAAACAAGACTTGAGAGAGACAATCAATATGAGCAGTAGGAATTTGATGTGCACTCTTTTTAAATCTCTAAAGAGTGCTATCAAAAAGGGCACGCTTTGATGTATTGAGTAATGGGCTAAGGCAAATGTAATTTCTAGAAGTTCTGAGGTGTGGGAAATCAATACAGAATGTTACGTTGAAGGATACCGCTTCAGAGCACAGCCTGGCTTCAATAATTCAGATAGCTGCCATGGAAATGGATTTATTTCATATGTAAACAGAGTAAATCACAAGTGGTGAGGTGTTTGGATATGAATTTCTTAAATCTGTGGAGATTTGTTTTTGTTTTAATAACATGAGGAGGAACATAGGGATTGATAAAAAACTACTTGATTGTCTTATTCAGTAGACTTGATTAAGAAAAACTGTAGGGTTTTTTCGTTTGTGATTGATGTGTTTGTACTTTCTCTGTACGGTAAATCAATTTGAATGTCTATAAGTGTAAGACTATTAAAATATTTAACCTGTCTTCCCCCTTTAGCTATGCTCCTTGGTGTCCAGCTTGTCAACAGATTGAATTGACATGGGAGAGTTTTGCAAAGGAAAGCGAACATCTAGATATCACTGTGGGAAAGGTGGATGTCACTCAAGAACCAGGTATAGTATGAAATAGACCGTTTTAATAAAAGGAGTTATTCAATATAAGTACCGCTTAGTATCTGGGAGCGTGCTTTATTTTACTGGAGTACCTGGGATACCAGCCAAGTCAAAAAAGAGGTTTCTAAATCAAAATAATGTTATCCATATTTTGTTTCTCCATATAGTTCATATCTATGAGCCTAAGTCTATAAATTCAATTTGAAGGATTAAAGAATTGGGGGAGTGATCTGGCTTAATACTGTATTAAAAGGGCTTATTCTCTATTTTAATCTACTTCACTGAAGGCTGTTGCCTGTCTCGTTCCTCTCTCCTCCAAACTGTCTGTGGAAGAATCCAGTTCTGTAGGCTCCAGTTACCGAGCGTTTCAGGGTTCGGTAGCGTTACCGCAGCATTACCGCCTGCTTTAATAAGTTCTTAACTGCTTCCATGATGGTGCTGGTTTATTGACTTGTTTAATTGTAGTAGTGCTTTGAAGTACAGATGTTATAGTTGTTTTCTGTTGGTGATGCACATATGCAAATGTGTTTACAAAAAGGATTTCCTAACTATCCACAGAAGCATGCATATGATCCCATTTATCCCTTTAGTGACTCCCTTCAAAGTTTTGAATGTGTGTTTGTGTAAGCAGTACCAATATTGTTTAAACCTCTGCATCTCTTGGGAATGCTTCGTGCTTGTTTTGGCTTTGAGGGGATAAAAGATTTTATCAGCAGTATCAGAAGACTGACAGAGTTAAGCAGAGATGTTACTAGAATAAAAAGGCTAAGCTTTACTGATTTTTTTTTTTTTTGCCTCAGAAAGCGTGTGGAAAATGTGTCCGTTTTATTTGTTGAAAACATGCCGAGCAAGTTAGCTTTATCAAATTAAAAGCAGGGAAATTACTTAAACTCTGGTCTTAGATACAGCAATTTAAGTTGACAAGAAAATGCCAGCTGTTCTAGACCTTGTGTAGGTTAATGTTTTGTTAAAAGTTTGTTAAGTGTACAAAAGCTCTTATGCCAAAGAGCTGCCGATGTGGGGCTCTCCTTTAGTGCGTATACTAATCATTAACAGTTTATTAAACAGATGAGTTTGAATATTAAAATTGTTTTCATAGGTGTAAACTTAAAGCCAACTTCTTCACATCAAAAAAGTAATGGTTGCTCTGGAGTTAAGGCTGTAAATGGGGATCTATTGTAATCCTATCGTTTTCTCCCGGTTAGACAGGGATTCTTTTGCTCATGCAGTGCTCAAATAAAAGGATTTCAGTCTTGATTGTGGCATTTGGATACGACTGTAACTTAAATGTGCACTTTCAGAAGTGAGGCTGTAAGAAGAAAATACTTAAGATCTCAAAGGAATTATTCTTCCTGGTAAAAAAACTTGAACAGCAGTGTTGGGACCTGGAGGGGTCAGGTACTTGATACTTTCTTTTAGTCTAAATTTTTCTGACTGCTGAGTGATGCCGGGTTCTTAAGACCTTAGATGTGACTTTTAACCAGAAGTTCCTTAAATATTTGAATTTCTAATGTTGCTGAGAGTCTTGACCTCTGAGGATGTTTGACTTCTGCAAATCAAAGGACGGACCCAAAATGATGAATTTGTACCAAAGTACGTGTAATATCCCTACAATATCCAGTTCAGCACAAAGCATGAAAACTGTAGCCGCTTCTAAAACTAACGAATACTCAAACTGGTAAACAAAGATTTATTACATACGTGAGCTTTGGTGCTGATGTAATTTTGAAACTATATGAGCTCCTTTGGAAGCTTTCCAAAGTTATTGAGGTATTTTTACTATAGGCTTATGCTTCAGCCTTTTGGTTGGTGTGCTTAAGTGCTCTATCTCCTGTTCTTGCTTGCACAATGACACCTTAATTAGCTTTGCTTATGTAACCCTTTCATCAAATTGAAAGTAGTCAAAATGTGTTAAATTAGGGGAAAACCTCTAGCTGAGTGCAGAGCTGCGTAAAATTGCACTTCCAAAACCTGCAGGAGAAAGTAGCCATTCATGGTGCCTAATTACAGCAGACTCCCAAAGAATAAATCCACCAGAGCCTTAATGGATTTACAGCATATTTCAGTCACTTGATGTACTAGTCCTAAAATGCTTATTCTTTCCTCATCTTTTCTATTAAAACATTGAGTATTTCAAGAGCACGTAATGGAGATGCTTCTGGATCTCAAAGTTCTGTATATTTGTAGTGCCTTTCTTAAGCTCCCAATCACAACATTTACCTGTGATTTAAAACAAGACTTCTTGGATCTTCTTTGAGCAGCTGTTTGATGAAAGCAGCTGTATTTTTAGATGGCATCTATATTCTCCGTGTATTCGGGGTGGGGGGGTGTGTGTGCAAATACTGAAGGTTTTTTCCTATTCTTGATTAGCTGTTGCCTTCATAATGGATGTATGTCAGTTTTTGATTTGCAAACAAAGACAGATGCTAAACTGTATTTCGAGTTAAACTATTAGCCAGATTAAGTTTGTATTAAACACACACCAAAACAATTTACTGTCTGTTCTTAGCTCTTTGTAGCTGGCTTACATCTGGTTTTACTGTTCTAAGGAGGGGCCTTAGAAAGCAACAAACCTCCAGCTAAAGTTTTGGGGATGCTTAGATGCATTTTGATAGATGCATCTTTTTTATAGATGTCATTCTTCATTCTGAGACCGTTGGTATTTGCTCTAGGATAGACTACTGGTAAGAGAGATTTAAGCTAGCTATTTTGTTCTCCGTTTTCCTGACTAGCATTTGTAAGAACTTTGGAAAGTCTTTCAGTGTTCCCATGACTTTCTTTGCTCTTAAGCTTATTATGCTCTTTATGGCTCTCCACCTAGGTTTTTCTCATGCAGCTGTGCTTTCTGCTTGATTAATTCTACTGTTACACTTGCGGTTTTGTTTACTTGATATCTCCCTGTGCTAGCGTAGCTTTTAGCTGTTTTATAAAGTTTTCCACCACCCTGCCTCTCATAGCAATTAAGGCAGAAAGCTGAAAAATTGAAATGAATAAGACTTCGTTTTTGGAGCTTTAAAGATGCTTGCACTTGTTTGATTTAAACATCTTCAAAACAAACAAAAAAACCCAAACCAAACAACAAAAAAACCCACAACCCTTTTTTTCCTATTCCATAGGGGAAATTCACACTAGGAAAAACATTGCTATTGAAACTTTAAAAAATACCTGGCTTAGTTCATTCTGGCTCATCTTTGTCTCTAAAGGCAGAAACTCTGTTGCTACAATACTTTTCTGCGACTAACTTCCTGGTGCCAAAAGATGTTTGCTTTATTGAAAGCTGAATAAGGACTTAGTTTCCCAAAAGATTTTCACAGAACTTTATAAAAGGAGAAGTTAACTGATTTGTACTCTTTACAGTGGTATGTTATATGACTGGCAATTGCTAGCTAGAGGAATGTAGCCCTTGCCAATGGAGTTAGACTGCATATCTAGGGGTTGATGATCTCTGAAGTCTGCTGTATTTTTTTTCCAAAATAGACTGCATTAGTAGCACATTTTAAATTTCTGCAGTCTTTAAGTTGGATGTGTTGAATAGTAAACAATATGACTGAGCACTAAGGTGAGTTCTTCCTCTTGCTTGCAGGTTTTTGTAATTGTCAGGAGGTGGCAAATGTCAAGTAGCCCTGACTTTTCCTCAGATTTGGAAGCAGAGGGGAGAGCGCGATGTCTTCACCTGACAACTTAGCTAGTTGAGTCATACAGACAACCTGCTTATGAGATGTTTGGGAGCTTTATGCTTCACAGCTGATTCTTTTGCAATTAAGCCATACACTGGGAGATCTTCAGTGGTGTACCTAAGGCAGCAGCGAAGCTGGAAGCACTTGCACCCATTACTCTGCAGCAGTACTGAGTGGAAGGCCAGAGAACTTCAAACAGCTTCTCCCCCACAAGCTGCTTTTTGATGATTTGGATAATTTCTCTGTCCTATGAGTTGCATTATGTTGTCACTGCCTAGGGTGATACTCAGATTACTACGTATTTGCCAGTCAGTAAAAAATGCACCTTCAGTGTGGGGATCAATTCCAGTCAGCCTCTTGAAGCCCTGCTTCAAACTTTGTCTGTCCTTTCTTCTGTCTTATGTCAGATGCTCAAAATGCTGACATGAGCCCACCCTTCTAGACGATGTTAAAAATTATTCTCGTGGCTTAAACTTGCAGTATTTTACAGAACAGAATCCTGAGACATCCCAAGCTTTATTATCAATCTGTTGGCATACCATTTGTATTTACTTGGAGAGGAATGATGTATGGGAAGGAAGGATAAGAACCTAGAAACATCCAAAACGTTGTCTTGCTACAGTCATATTGATGAGAGAGATTGAGCCTTCCTACAGGATGTAAGAACAGACTGGTTGTGCAGAGTACATCGATTATTTGGAAGAAGTGAACAAGCAAATACAAAGATTGATTTATTTAATGACTTGAAATACCTGAGATCTGAAATGTGTGGCTCCAAATCATTTAAAATCAGCTAGAGGATGAATGAAAACCAGGTGCCAGAGTTTGTAAGCCATTGTTGTCATTGCTGTCATCATTAGTGGCCCAACTTTCTAGATGAAACGAAGGTCATCTGGATGAGACTACGCACAGACACAAGCACACAGCATCCTGGAATACGGGTGCATTTGTGTGACTCTTCTTTCTCTTGGTTAGAGGGGCACGCTGCTGGTCTGGTCAAAAACTTCAGCTGCGTGCAAATTTTGATTAGTGAAATCCATGTAGAAAAATTACCTTGTAGTAAACATTCTTCAAGGTAAGCATTTGCCCCTAATTTGTCAACAGTATTTAGTATCTATTATCGTTTGTAGCATTTCTGAAAACAAACTGTAAACCTGTATTTACAAAACAGTGGTAAAAGCTATGCAGTTTGCTGCTTTCTAGTCTACAAATACAGCTCTGTAGGTATTTATAGATAAGTCAGAATGCTGAGAAATTTCAGTTTTACTTAACCATTTGATGTCGTTTTTTTTCTTCCCTTTCTAGGCTTGAGTGGTCGTTTCTTTGTCACAACACTTCCTACAATTTACCAGTAAGTGTGTCATACTAGAAACAGTTGTCTGTTTCAGTACATATTCTTCTTCCCTGTCCTGTTCGAGCAGTGGCATGGAAGATGTGATGAACAACTGGCTTATTTCACTTTTGTCAATCTCTAAAACATTTCTCAGGAGCTCAGTGCTCTTAATGAATGGAAAGTATGTATTTTTAACTTACAGTGGAAGGTTCTCTTATGAACGGTTTTGTACCTAGGTAGAAGTGAGGCTTTTTCAGTCTGGAAACAACATTTAATAGCATTTATAAAAATTGGTGCAAGTTTGGCTTCTAAAAACCTGACTTAGAAGTAGTACTGGCTCCTAGAAACCTGACCGTATGTGAGCAGACACACTTGACCTTATACAAGTGTCATTAAAATTTCTCATTTGAATAGTTGAGTGCGTAGGTCATATGTAAAACAGTACAGAAATTTTCCACTGTTTGTTTTACTGCTTCTCTTACTGCTAGAATTCTTCATCTGTTGACTCAGTACCGATATGTAGCTGTTGACTCCTAGTTGTCACTTGTTTTAAACTGTAACTCTGAAATGCAGGTAAGAATGAAGGAATGCTGACTTTTGATTTCAGTTCAGGTTATTGTTTAGAGCTTTGATTGTATTGATAAGTCCTCACCTGAGGCTTTTCTTTAGTTTAAATGACTTTACTAAGTTCCCCTGTTACCAATACTGTTAAAAACAGATCAGGAAAGATGTTTGCTGTATCTCCTCTCTAATAAAAAGATGTCATCCTTGAAATATTGAACCCTTTATGAAGTCATGGCATTGTGAGTCATGCATATATATACACACATACATGGACACTTTCGATTTTGAATTGTGTCCAAAAAATGATTTGGTTGTTAACCTCATGTGCTTTGTATTTGCTGTAGTGCGAGTGAATTTTTATTTAAGAAAAATAGCATTTTTAATAAATGTGAAAAGCTCATACTGTTTAAAAACTGAGACCTTCCATCATGGATTACATGATGCTTAAGCATTCAACTTTCTGAGCAAATCAAATCTATAATGTACATGGGTTTTTTGGGTTTTGTTTTTTACCATAGATACAGTTTAAGGGATATCTGTATTAATGCGTATTTTTGGGTTTTAGTGCAAACGATGGAGTGTTTCGCAGATACCGAGGCTCACGAACATTGGAAGATCTTCAAGGTTATGTTTTAGAGAGAAAATGGGAAGCTGTGGAGCCTGTTGCAGGGTGGAAGTCTCCATCTTCTATAATGTAACGCTTTGTTTTTATTAACAACAAACATGCTTTATAGCTCATTATTCATGAAGGGTGCTACGTTGACAGCTTAGAGACAAAAGGCCTTTATTTCCTAGACGTGTAGGCTTTGCAGAAGCAATCTGTATTGACAGCCTGCTTTCCGGTTCGCACCTTTAAAAGCAGTTTATTTTCTGCACTCGCTTTTGTTCATACCTACTAAGGTTTGTTTATATCACCTTTGAAAATATACAAAGGAAAAAGTACAGCCACTGAGCATTATGTAAGTGTCAGTTGCAATATCCGCTGAGTACTGGAATCCAGTGCGTGTTTATGTAGATTTTTACTTCATGACTTCTGGCTGCTTGAGGCAAGCAGCCTTTGGCTTTAAGAATTTATTGTTTATTTGTTTACAAGGAAGTCTCGTGTCCTCCCTTGGAATAGGAAGCTGTGTAGTGCTTATACAGTATATCAGAATTCGTTTTCAGAGCGTTGGATTTGCTTTGAAATAGCATAGAATGCTTGCATGACGTAAAAGGTGAACCTGAGATGCGAATGCCCTGCATTTCGTTCTGGCTAAAGCTATTATGTGTGAATTCATGTCAAAGATTCAGTGGGTGTCCTTATTTTTCATCTGAGGACGAGGAAGAGCTATAGGATATTTAGTAATGGGGAGAGGAGCTACAGGGCTGCATGCTGCCGTCAGTTGGGGAGAAGGTGGTTACGGCTGCACAGGGTTAAGCTGTGGAATCGGTATTTCTTGATTATGCTCAAATGTCATCTTTCAAGTCACTGTTTCAATGCTTTGCATCGAGCTGGCTTAAATGAACATAGTACAGAGAAAATATCTTTATCTGCAGTAACCCCCTTCTGACGATTACCAGGGGCTGAATGGCATTGAAAGGCCATAGGTAAAATCTTTTTCTGGTTTCTGGACAGTTTGCTGTGTATCTCAACTCCTATCTGTGTTAGAACCTGTCCCTTCCTTTTCTTTGTTTTCTAGGATGCATGGCATGGCAGGACTATTTCACCTCTCTGGATGGATCAGGGTAAGTAACTATGTGATAGCATTTTCCATACCTCCTCTTCATGCTTAGAATAATACTCTGTTTAGAAGTCAAAACCTAACTGAATATTTTTATTATCCTTTTATGAGAGTTAAATTTTCCTTACATTTACTGTACATCGGATGTATAGTATCTTTGCACTATAAATTTTGTGATACTAACAGACTATGCCAAAAGTGGCAGTTTGATTGTAAAGATTATCATCAATACTGAAAAGTACTTACTGTTCTTATTATCTTGGTATAGTTAAAATGTTCTGTCAAAGTGTGCTAACACGATAAAGTAGGTTTTTGAGAGCTGCTGCAAAAATGGTTGTAAACATCAGCAATACATTTACTGTCTACCGGGTTCTCTCCTTTAATACTACTCCTAAAGATTATATCCAGGTTCATTTTTAAAGTTTTATATTATGCTCTTCTGCAGTTCATTTGCATCTAGCGTATTGTACAGGAGAAGAGAGGGTAACGGTCTTATTCTTCAGTAAGAATTTCTACATTTGGATTTCAAACTGTCCATGCCATTGGCATAGGAACACAACAAATTTGGACAGTAATTATCAGAAGTAAAGGAGAAATGGTTAGTGTACACTGAAGTATGCTTTGAGCTTAAACATATTTTGAGACGCTTTCATTTGGGAGCTATCGAAGTTTTGCCTGTAGCATGCAGATGCTGAGAATTTTCAGACCTTTCCAGTTTTGGTCAGGAAACATACTCTTTCTTAAAATCTTCAAGTGTAGTAAAGATTGAGAGACTGTATTTGATTGTAGCAAAAGGTCTTAATATTGTAACATGTGCTACAAAAAATAAATGTAGCAGTTTGAACAGAGTTCGTATCACTTCCAGTAAGCATCTAACCCAGAATCAAACAAAACTTTCAGTTATTAGGTTTCCTGTGCAAGCTATCTTTGATTCTTTCTTTCACTGGATAGTATTAACTGTTTACAGCCTTCTGGCATTTCTCTTCCATGGTTGCTGGGTAATGATATTGTCTCTGTCCAGTTTCCTTCCTGAAAGATTAAATGCTCTGGGACAAAACCTTCTCTAATTTGCTTTCCGCTTTGATGAATATTTCAGCTATACATTTCTTCACTCTTCTTGATGTGCTGTCCTTGCATGTGCTTTAATAAATGTTGGAAGCTGTTCTGACATTAAAAAAAAAAGACGCTGGAATTTCAATATTTAAACTTTTGTAAGTGTTGATTGTGGTTTGTTTTCTAATGGATATACTCTTGGAAGACATCTAATGTCATAGTTTACTTCCTACCAGACTATCTCTGTGATGCTTGGTTCAGTCAATTGAATTGGTAGGTTTGAATAACAGACTCCAGTTTCAGAGAAATCTTAATATTGTATTTGGATTATTCTCTTTAAATTTATAAGTGAAATCACTTATTCAGTATCTGCTTAGAATGGGTGGCTCCTTTTAAGAACTAAAGAGCTTGAGTAAGAACTAAATGGATCAATTTTAGTTATTGAATGAATTCCCAAATTTAAGTATGTATTTGGATCTTGTGCAACTTTAAGTGTCTACCACTCTGCTTCGCAGATGTAATTATGGGGATAAAGCTCTGTATGAGGTTACTTTTTTTTTTGCTTGGTGATGCGCTTGTGAAGCGGGTATAAAAGGGCTCTTGCTTTTAACCTGACTTGGTTGCTTTTTTCATTCTGAAATGTTTAAGTTCTAAGTTACCTTTTTTAAATACTCAGCTTCGTAGACTTCTGTCGGTGCTGTGATTGTCGTTATCTGGGACGCTTACTGTACAGTCTCCTTCCTACGACAGAGGCCATAAGAAGAGATGTACGGGTTCATGCCGTGGGTTCATCTAGGCCAATAGTCTGTCTCCAACAGTTGCCACCTTCTTACAGAATAGAAGGATTGAGAATGTTGTGATACTTTCCTGTATGCTCTGAGCCTTCCTCGTACATTTATCCGCAGCAAGATTACGCGTGGCATCTCTAATGCCGAGTACCTTAGGAAGAAGGAATTGGGCATCCTTTGCTTAAAAAGTCTTCTAATGTGAACAACTTGGTAAAGACAAACAAGATTTAATGGTATCAAAGGAATTATAGTATGACTTTTAAAGATAACTAGGGCTTGAGAGGGAAGACTTCGGTATAAATACTGTTAAATGAAAGGTCTTGATTAGGTATCAATTTATGTAATGGTGACAGCAGTATAAATCATAAGTGGTGTTAAGTATGAAGTTATTAAGTATCTTCCTCTCGTTTCCAGCAAATTCATAGCTACCTCACGGGCACTCTTGGAATTCATGTTTGGATTTCTTACGCAATCTTCATCTTAGCTACCTTATTGATTGGCCTGTTCCTGGGTTTGGTAAGAAAGCATACTACTTTCTTTTTCTCAATTACCTAGAACTTTTGCTTTGCATTAACTTGGGGAAAAAAGGAATAAACTTTGCTGATAAGAGATACTGAAGTACCGTATTTTAATGATGTATCTCTTCTCCCTGGTATCCAGTGATGCGGGGGAATGGTTCAGAGCTGCGCCAGGGGAGGTTTAGACTGGACACGAGGAAGCGTTTCTTTACCGAGAGGGTGGTCAAACACTGGAACAGGCTTCCTAGAGAGGTGGTTGATGTCCCAAGCCTGTCAGTGTTGAAGAGGCATTTGGACCATACCCTTAATAACATGCTTTAACTTGGTCAGCCCTGAATAGGTCAGGCAGTCAGACTAGATGTCCAGCTAGGTCCCTTCCAACTGAAATAGTCTATTCTATCCTCTTCTATTAAAATTCTTAAGTATTCAGTACTGCAGGTCCACTCTTTAGTGTTGTTACCTACTTCTGGTAAAGGTTAAGACTGGTTCACTCAAAGTTAACCTTTTTATGAAATTCATGCTTCGATTTAGACTTTAGTTCAACCACTAAACAAGTGATTTTAATGTTGGCCTTTTGTATCTAAGACTTTTGTACTTAAGGCTTGAATGTGTGTGGTCAGAATTGTGTAAAGACTCCAACTTTCTAAAAATGCAGGCTTTGTGGAGAGATTTTTATTAGCTGGGGTGGGATTGTATTTGTGGGAGTTAGCAATGTAAGTATGCTGCTGCAGTGTTAATCAAAATGAAAGGATGAAAATATTTTTTGAAAGGCTTTGAAGATTTGGAGGTTTAATTGATTTACTCTATTCAGGGCATAGCTTTGTGGTTACAGCTTGGTTTTAATAAAATCTGACTTCGCTTCTTTCTCCCCCATGATCTTTTGGTTTGAATTCTCATTAGTAACTGAAAAATCTGACCTCTCTTGTTACTAACCAGAACTGGTGCATTCATATATCAATCTCCAAAACATCAGGAAGGTTATTCAAACAAACCTGTCAGCTATATCGGCAAATGTTAAGGACCGTATCCTCAGCCCTGTGTTGTTTCATCAGTGGAAACAGTTCAAAGTTGCTTTACCTGTGGAGCTGGGATTATTTCTTCTCGGAATATTTGAATGATGCTTCTCTATGACCTCTCCAATATCAATATTGTGTGAGAAACTGAACTGGAAAAGGAGATATAGATGGGAATAGAAGTTCTTTCAGACTAGTTGCTTGGTCCACAAGCGTGTTCTGCAACTGTAAAAACAGTTTAAAACAGTTACGCTGATAACTGCTTTAACTAGCTGCTAAATCGCTACTCCATGTAGGAAGTGTAAAGGTTGTTTCTGGCACTTGGATATCTGCCCTTCAGCCCAAATATTAGTGTTAGTGACATAAAGAAAAATGGCACGAGTACGTTTCTCAGTAGTACAGGGAAGTGATTTCAAAGCAGTGTGTGTGTGTTTAGGCAAAACCACATTTTTATACATACTATGTGTACAGAATTGGTATATATGAGCAAATGTCTGTCTTTATACAATTTAAACAGCTGCATTTTTCTAGATGGTAGATTTTCATCACCAAATGACTGCAAATCAAGTTTGCATAACTAGGAGCAAATGAATATGATGACTTAAAAAAAACTTTCCTCCTTCTTCCTTCACTAAAAAAAAAAAACAAAACCCAAACTGAAAAAACTGAAAAAATGTAAAGTTAATCTCTCAGCTTTTTCTAAAAAGCTTTTCAATGATTGAAATGTATTTCTTTAACGTGGTATCATCTGTCTCTTCTCTTCCCTTTGCATTATCCTTAGCACATGACAATGAGACAAATATCTTCCTTGCATTTTGATTGTATGTGTTCTACACACACCCCCCACCCCCCCACCCCCCCAAACCTAAAAGACAAAACCAAGCACAAAAAGTGAAAGTACACATCGTGTATTGGGGAGTCAGGGGTAGGAATTGAATAACATTCCAAAATACAGAAAATCTTGACCAGGAAGGTTTCATAAGTTTTAAATAAAAATTCCTCAACTGTGTTCTGGGCCTCTCTTGTTAAGATGCAAGCCGTTTCAATACTGGATAAATTTAGGGAAGTAGGAGGCAGAAAATTTGGAGTAGAAAGCGGAGAATGTTGGTTGGTATACACTAAGAGCACACTGCTTTTCAGTGTTTTTATTTAGCTCCTTAGGACAGCTCTTATCTCCGAGCAAGATCATATAATTTCCTCAAATTTTGTTGTATGTCTACCTAAAAAGGATGAGTAGGAAAATACTTAATAGCGCAGGGGCTGGTGGGATGGTTTGCTAATAAATGCCTTTTTTTTTTTTTTTTTTTTTTTTTTCCCTTTATACAGATACTGGTTTTGATTTCAGACTGCCTTTGCCCATCCAAGTCAAGATACAGAGCTGAAACATCTGGTAAGGACTCTAAACTGGGTGAGATACTGTAGGTTTAAATGTACACTTGTAGGAGGGAGAACTTAGATGTGAACCAATGGCAAGAAGTTCTTAGATGTCGGGAAGTTAGATGTGAACCAATAATCCAGGCATTCATTTTAGTCACCCTGACAAGGATTGATGTGTTGGGCTCTAAAATAGTGATGTCAAAGCATCTACTTGGAGGATAGCAAAGCAGACAAAAAACCCAAGAGCAGCAATTTATTCTAGCTTCCACAGCTGTGAAGAGGTGAAATGCACTCAAAATGAGGAAGTCTGGAAGAAAGATACTGGGGTTTGTGTATTTTATGCAAGTGCGCATTCACTAGACCTGTTGCTGAAATATAGAAAGGAATTTGCTTTGGCAGGACGCTTCCACATCCTACTACACACTCCGCGTATTGCATTAGGAGATGCAATGTTCTGAACCCGTAAAATTCTCTACGTAATTTGTGGTTGGAGAAAGGAGGAGATAGAGGGAATCAAATGAATCTAGAGACTGCAGGTGTGGGGATGGGGGGAGGTGTTGCACCTCCTTGAAGTAAAAGAAGGAAACGTAGATCTTGCTGATCCTTAGAGGGCTTCTGAGCAGTATTCTGCTCCCTATGAGTACGGGAGGCAAAAACTTGCACATGAAATAGTCTCTCGTCAGCACCAGATGTGTGTTAAACTCCAAAACACCTTTTGGTATGTTTGTGCTATTAAGTGGAGGCAAAACTTAACTGTAATTAAAAATTTATTTTATAATTGTGTACATTTGTGTGTACTGGTTTGCTGTTGAAGATGAAGATGATCTGTAACACTTGCCAATAAGAATTTAGCCAAATCTAGAATTCGGAAGTGTGCAAAATCGTAGCTGTTCATCACTATCAAAAGAAAAACGCCCCTCTGCATACTTGTGCAGTACGCTCTCCAGTTGGCTGGGTGGTTGAAGAGCAGCTGTTACCTGACAGAGCTTACCAGTATCTTAGCACTTCCCCACCAATTTGTTTGATAACGATACCTCTTCAGGGAGCCAAGTAAAGCTGATCTGTCTTTAGTTTGTCGCTTGGTGGAACAGAATGAAAGCTATCTATGCCCGATATGCGAGAAAAACAAATGAAAACGGAGGAGAAATACTACTGAAGATTTATTTGAAATAATTGAAAAATAAGGAAAATACAGCCCCGTACAAGTTTTCAATAATAATGTTAGTGAATATTTCAGAATACATACATGGTGATGTAACTTTAAAAGACGTTGTTCTGAGATTCAGTCTAACTTCAGTACTTGAAACTCTTCTTTTGTTTAGAAGAAGCAATTACAAAGGATAATGTGGAGAATGCGGCATTAGAAGAACCGGAGGAGGCTGCAGAGCTTTCTGCAGATGATGCGGAAGAGACTGCAGATGTAAAAGATCTCTCAGATGGAGAAGATGCAGCGAATTCAAGTGCTGATGACTCAGAGGAGGATTTAGCACTTGAAAAAGAATCAGGGGAAGAAGAAATGGAAGACTTAAGTGAACAACCCTTAGCTGATTCAGAGACTGAAAGCTCAGTAAGAAAGCGTAAAAGTCAGGTGGCTGATAATGGACTATAGTTGTTTCGGTGGTGTATTTTGTACCCTTGGACCAAAGAAGTGTCAGACCCTGTGTCTGAAGCTGAAGCTTACACTTGATTTGTCGTTTGTGTTTACGCAAAACCTCTGCTCTGTCAGCAGGCTTCTTTTTTTAAGCTAATACTTGCTCGGTGGGTTTGTTTTATAAGCACATATGCTGTGTATTGTATAACTTTAGCCATGACAATCAAAATACGTGTATCTTATCTGTTTGAAGTCTTCTAAGAGAAAAAGGGGGGTAACAGGGTCTCAGTTCACCAGCTGTACAATGGTCATCTCTGTTTGTGTTCCTTTGTAAGTATTGACCTACGCAAGATCAGGACTTTTAACCCTTCACAGTAGCTTGGCAGGACTGTGACTTTGCTTTCTGAATGTTTATTGTTTCCAAATGCCACAGAAGCACCAGATAAGTGATACAGTAGTGAAAGAAGGCACCTTACTAGTCTTCTCTTAAAAATGTTGTGGATGATGGGCTTATTTTTATCACTTTCAACTGAAGCACCTTTCTGTTTCGTTTTCATTAATGTTTGTTTTGAAAGTTTGTCATACAGTACGCCCCCAGATCTTTCAGTTTGTGGTCATTCGCAGGCATGCTGCACAGCTCAAGCTTGTCAGCTGCGTTTTTTGACCCAAGGAGTTTGAGTAATTGAAAACCTCAGGCCGAGAAAGAGTGGCAGCTCAATGTTTAAAATATGTTTGAACTCTTAAAAGGTTTAAAGGAAATTATTTTGGTCGGGGGGCTTTTTGCCAAAACATGATTTCCCCCCCGCAAGAGATTGTAGCAAGAAGTATTCACTTCTGTGTATTTCTTGCCAGTACAAGCTTGTCGCGTGCAGTGCAGTGCAGTTCTGCCATTTCCAACTCGGAATACGGTTGGCAGAACTCACGCTGCTTTAGTAATAGTAACTGAAGAGGCACTTAAGGTTTTACCTTTGATGGCTTTTCTACTCTTTTGTCACTGGAATCGGCACGTTAGAAAAAGAGGGGGGCACGGGTGGGTAGCGGGGAGAAGCTTTTGGTTTTGCTACTTATATCAAGATATAACGTGTGTCTGTTGAACTGTGTAAAGTGAAAATGGCTTGCCAGGTAGATGGCATTAGGTGTGGTTAGCAGACTTAAGTCATTAAAGATATCAGTATTTCCCTCCTTGAATTGGTTAATATATAAGGCTTTTTCTTGGTAAGGAATACCTACAGTGAGATTCTGTATGTTCCTATTCTGTTGTTGTGTGATCATGTGCATAAGATGTGTCTTAATCTTGATATTTTTTTTTTATATATATATTGCATAAATCTTGCTAACATGCATGAATTTCATCTTGTTCTTCAAGAATAAAGAGTAATCAGAGATGAAATCATCTTGTTAGAAGAGACAAGTTGCAAGTGCAAAATGCTGGTTTCCTTTGAGACTGAGATTCATACGGTCAATTTGTGTTGAAAGTTGTTGTTGTTGGTTTTTTTTTAAATGCTCATAAAGAGCATATTTACTAAGAAAGCTTAACTTTTCCTGCCTGTGTCCTGTTGCACATTGTGTCTTGGAACTATATGGTAGAAGGTTTGCATTTGTCTGTTACAGTTGTGCAAAGAACAAAATTACACTGCATATAGTGAATATGAATTTTCTTAAGGAACGTTTTCAGTCTGGAGCTTGAATTTCATATAGTGGACACAGGTAAATATGCTTTCACATATGTGAAAACATACAGTTGAAAATATATATCCATTGCACTATAATGAGAACAAGCTGTCCTCTGTTATTTGGGCGTTGTCCCATGTAACTGAGCAATTGTAGAAGCTTACAGACAGCAGAACTCAGTAGCAGTTGAGGTATGTACCAGCTTTTTTTAAACAAACAAACGAAAAACAAAAACAAAAAAAAAACCAAACAAAAAAAAAAAACCCAAACCAAAATGCCCCAAACTCAAGCCAAGCTTTTATTTGCAAAAACGAAGAAAACTTTGTGGCCACTGTAGTCTGGAGGGAAGAACTGTGCACCTAAAAGCACGGAGTACAGATTTGTTGTTTCCATGGTGTATTTGCTGTTTTCATTATCTGTGCATCAGGAGCTCCTAAAAGTCTAAAATGAAAACAAAACTTTAACCGTATTTCATGAGACAAGCAGGAGTCGGTGTGTATATTCAGTTACGTGAACTTGCACAAGATAATAATAGGCATATCCCCTCAGTCATGGGCCCAAAACTACCAGACGCTAAACATATGTGGGACTGTATCCAGCACAGGTTGAGGGAAATCAGGTCTTCGATTGCGTACCAAAGAGGGTATTTTATACGGTACAGGGTCTTGTGATACTCGGCACATAGCAGGGAGCATGTCAATGTTGAATTTTAATGCAATTTCCCTTCACTTTTGTAATAACGTGGAGCCAGTCATCTAAAATCATCGTTAGCTGTTTAAAGAAGTTTTAACTTTAAAAGATACAGAACATCCTTATACCTCACAGTGGCTTTCTGTATGCTGTTGGGAATATGAAGTATTAAAAAGTCAGGTGTACCTCTTCTCAGTGCTCAAGATGAGGTATTTGGGTTTTTTGAATGTTTAGACAAATAAGGTGTTCTCACAAGAGCTGGATTTCATTATGGTGTCTTTGAATTCAAAAAAAAACAAAACCACAAACCACAGGTGACACTGTGTCCTACAAGGCGCATGGTTTATGAGATGCTGTGAGAAAGATCAGAAGCTCCTGTGTAGGGTGATTCTCTGAAGTCTCTGCTTACATTTCCTCTGTTTTTGCATGTCACTTAAGTTTGGATTATTTAAAATGAAGATATTAAGTATTCTCCATCATAATAGACCTAACTGCAAGACCACTCTCTGATGAGCAAGGATTAGGTAAGCAGGCAGCAAGTGACAGCAGTTCATCTCTTCATAGATCTGTCCTGTGAATCTGGAAACAAGCAATTTTAGGCTTCTAAGGCTTCTCGAACATAATATGTATGTCATTGCTCCTGTGTTTTCATGAATAAAGTAGGGAATATTAATGCTAACTTGGGTTTGACTGTATTTGACATGTACTGGAGTATCTGATTACAAAGATCGCTAAATTGTCATCAAGACTTGAGAAAAACAGGTGCTATGCAACCATTGATATCTCCAACTTAGTTGAACATTTGTAGGCAAAATACTGTAGCATGATACCGGAGATAATCAAGTTTGACTAATGTTTATCCAGCAAACACTGTAAAGGCTAAATTGGTGTTTAACAGAAAGACCACTAGCTATGCAGTAAGAGTGTGATGTTACCTTCCAGAATTAGGGTTTTTTCCACTAAAACACATTTTAATTGAATCATGCAAGTTTAGTACTAATTAGACTATTACAATAGTATTAAACTTGGTCTGCTTCCAAAAAAAAAGTCATTACCAACCTCTTGTGCAATCTGAGTGTTCTGCTATCTCTGTCCTCCGGTATGATTAATTTTTAAAAATGGAACTTGTTCTTGCAACCTCAGTATAGACAAAATGTCCTTGGAGAAGCTGCCGCTAACGCTGTTCAAAATGTTTTGATTAAGGATAGGGCTGTAAGGCTTGTAAACTAGAGCTGTATGTCAAAAATGACTTAAAATTCTTGAGAGCCAATTTAAATTTCAAATGGGATGCGTGCCACTCTGAAAACCAGTCCCTGATGGATCTGAACGTGAATGCTAAAAGCAAGTCATTCAAAAAACCCAGTGGGTTACTTTTTAAAGAGGCTACAAATACATACAGCCTTTCAAAACTCCCGTCCTCGAGATTTGTGTGAAACTTGTATCCGCGTCTTGGAATGCTGTGTATGTGCTGCACCCGTGCTGGGCAGCACTTGTACGTGGGCTTTCGTCATGGAAATGTTATATAGGATTGTCTTTTATGTGAAAGTGTTGCAAATTTATACTATGGGTATTTTTACTGAAATTCCATATAAATTTTGTATTTATGATCTTCTTGTAGTTAGTTTTCATTTTCTCAGTGTGCAGATGGCTCATCTGTGTGCTTAACAAACGATTATTTTTTTTAATACTGATCTTCCAATTAATAGTAGAGATTGTGACTTGTGAAGATTCCTTAAAGTCTTTAAAACAAACCTGTACACTAATGAATTGCTTCCCTCTTACACGAGGGAAAAAATGCTTGGGAGAAACACACCTAGGTGGAGGGTTTGGCTGTAGTAACTCTGGGCTGCGGGGTACGCTCTCCGAGGTGTAAAATGCAGCTGGGGCTCAAATGCAGGCTGCCAGGCAAAATAGTGTAACTCTGAACACTTGAGGGCTTCACCTCTATAGAATCATTTAGGTTGGAAAAAAAGACCTGTAAGATTGTGTTAAGGTTAAGGGTTTTTTCCCCCTCCCTGAGAAATCCACTAATTCTGCGAATCGTGTGCTAACTCTCTCTGGGATTTGGGGGACAGCAGTACATTTCTCCCTGCCGATGCGGTCGAAAAGAAGCGTAGGGATGTAAGTGGCACATCTTCTGATGGCAATTCACAGCAAGCAGTCGTTGCTAAAGAAATAGGCCTTAGGGCCGGGTGTGCCGGAGGGAGAAGTGACTACCAGGAACCATCGCCGCAACGTGTTTGGATGATGCGAACAACTGCTGGAAGCAGTGCACAGATTCATTCTCCTCAGGTGAGTTTCCTGAGCCACCTTTTGCTGTGCACGGAGCTGCTGCATGGGCTGGGAATTTGCCATTTGCTTTGGTTTTCTTCTTTTCCTGATGTAAAGTTGAAGGGGGGGGGGAATGGTATTGAACGAAGCCCTCGCGAGCATTTTGTTGTTTTACTATTTAATCACCTGCTTCTTGTTCTGTCTCATGATATGAGAATATGAAATTTTCCCCATGAAAACAGGCAGGTGGAATACCACAGGCAAAATCCAATTGGGTTTTGAAAATTACTTTGTTTAAGCAATCAGGCAAACATAAGCTCTATTTTTATAGAGGAACTATGAAGATGACTCTGATGGCTGTCCTGGAGCGGTAGAAAAGCTTGAGT